TTTACTAACACATTTAACTAACAAGATTCATGAGTGAGTCTAATAACTATCATAGTTTTAAAATATTGGTGATCAGGGGCGCCTGAGTGGCTTAGCCATTAAGTGTCTGCCTTCGGCTCAGGTCATGATCCCAGGGTCCTGGGATCGAGCCCCACATCGGGCTCCCTGCTCAGTGGGAAGCCTGCTTCTCCCTCTCCCACTCCCCCTGCTTGTGTTCCCTCTCTCGCTGTGTCTCTCTCTGTCAAATAAATAAATAAAATCTTAAAAAAAAATAAAAAATAAAATATTGGTGATCAAAAAAGTTATTTCCAGATATCTGCAACAATCATGATGTGATATAACTGTATCTATGATTTATATTGGTGACAAAGTCATAGATATTACTGATACTATTGCAGTTTATTCCTATATTCATAATTGAAGGAAATATTGCATTTCAGCCAGCAGTTAATGAAAATACAAATATAAGTTTTCTATGCATCTAAATTCATGGGTTCCCTTGGATTCTATCCACAATTCCCTAGGAGAAAAGAAGTCTTGCACGATGGGTGATTTGCAGCCTGTCTAAAAAAAATGCTTATCTTGTCAAATGATAAATATGATACATTTTAAAACAACATAGGAGACAGGATGTGAATCAAATGTGTTCTGAAAGCCATAGAATAAATTGTTCTCCCTCTCATGGTCTAACACCTGTGACAGTGAAAGCATAGCTGATCTAATAGTTTACTGGAAATTACCAACAGTGTTACATATTTTCCTGCTTAATCATACAAAACCTTTGTATTCATTATAATTTTAATGTTTTCCCACATGTTCTTTGCAGATCTTTACCTGTCACTGTATGTATTAATTGACACCTCCTGCGATTCCTTAGAACCTCTTAGAAACAGTGAATTTTCAACTCTTGGTGTTGTCATTGCTAGCCCCATTTGAGGAAATGGATAATCAAAGAGCACATAAACAAGTCAAGGTCATGGAGCACAATTCGGGGCCCTGACTTCCACTGAGTTCCACGTTTCTGGTTCTGGATTCTGGCCTGGCTGCAGAGGGGCAGCGAGCCAATGGGACCTGGCCTGGCCACCATTTGAGATAGCTGAGTGGTGGTATCAGATGAATAGAAAGAACAAAAAGGGATTCTTTCTATTCCAGCCGTTGATGACAGACTACTCAAACAGGAAATAATCAGAGCATAAAAGGATAAATCTACTTTCCTCATGAGACAGAGGAGACAATAGACTGTCAGGAAAGGAACATGCCCCTATTTTGCAGATGGAACATTGTAAATAGGACTTCTTGCCAATTCTTTATTTCAGAAGCCATTATTTTAAAGTCTTGTCTTTGCCTTTCAGCTCATTTTATTTGACAGATTCTTCCCCCACACCCTGATTATTAAAGGACATTTAAAAGGTCTTCTGAAGGGCTTTCTTATAACATATTTTCTTCTGTGTTGTTTCTTGTTGGTTTGAATAGTTTGATACTGTTTCTAGTATCAAATACTGACACTGAATTCTAGTCTTAACTTTATAATTTGGAAACAGAGTGACATTAACACAAATTTTCGAAGGCTCAGTTTTATTAATTATCTGAGGATTACATTTGCCCTACTGATTCAAATACAGTTTTTAATAGATGAAGGAAAAAAGAATGAATATTTATTGAGTGCCTGCCATGTGCCAAGCCCTCACAGTATAGAAGAAGCGATGTCATACAGGGAAGGGGGTAACACATCCAGTTGGGCAGGTGGAGGAAAGGAAAAGAAAGAGAAAAGAAACATCTGCAGATGTTACAGCTATTCAGGAAGCCAGAGGCTGGCAGGGAGAAGGCACAGAACAGAGGACAGTATAGGAAGAACCCATGAGCATCTGAGTGAGGTAGAAGTGTCTGCAAAAAATCAGTAGTAGCAGGAACCAACCAAAGTATTTTGGTTATGTAGAGTGCTGAGTTTCCTTCTTCAGCTTTTGCTATGGGTATAGAAATGTCTGTAGGCAGCTGCAGATGGAAAATTTAAGAAAGATGGACGACAGGACAAATCTGTCTAATGTGGAACAGAATGAACTGCATTTTTAAAGGAGAAAGAGGGGGGACACCAGTATTTTCTGTTAGTTGCTATTTATCATACATAAGGTCTACATTTGGAGAATTGAATAAAAGCAGGGAGGAGAAAAAGTGACAGAGCTTCTGTGCAGGACGGAGTGAGAGGATCCTTTCAGTAAGGGGCTTCTCTCCAGAGAAAGAACAACTGGCCCACAGCTCTGACGCTTAATTCAGGGTTTGGGAATGCAGTCGATATTTATTATGTTAATGCCAGGAAAAAAATAATTAAAGTGATCTGTAGAACAACAGTGAAGCTGCTTTCAAAAATGTGTCAGTGGAAGAAGCTTATGACTTCCAAAGGAATCCTATTGCAATTCCACTTAGCAAGTCAAAGATAAAGATTGTTAGTTCCTTTCAGGAGTGGCCCATGCTTGACAGGAGCATGAGGCATAATATTTGATCGATAGAGTTATTAAAATAGCACCAGTAAAACTAACTGTTTTCATGGTTATTGCCAAGAATTATTGAATTGTGACTGATTGAAAATAGCAGATAAATGTGAGGTTTAGTACACATAATAAAAGCATGAACTAGATCTCTGGGAAAAATGAAAATGGTCTTAACCATTTAATAAGTATGTTTCAGTGGGGGTCAGGGAAGGTTTAGAGTAGAAGTGAATTAGGGAACATATAATTCATTATCCAAACCAAGAAATGTTTATCTAAGAAAATTGCTCAGGCTCTTCCCTAATATCTGTGGAGCCTGAGGCAAGAGTACAAATTGAAGCCCATATACTTGACATATCTCAAGTATTTAAAGGAAGCCAGAAAAATATTAAGTAGCTTTCTCTTATATTTTGACAAACAAATATTCAAAACACTCAAGATTAGTTTCAAATTTAGATTTCTCAGAAATCTTAGAGCTTTGTGCAGGGACATGTTGGTATTGGGTGAACTGGTCCCTGGCCTCAGAAAACCCTTTCTGTCCATCCTCAGCTTCTCCTTGCACTGGTGGGGCCTCCCATACAGATCTAAGTGCACCCTTCAGCCTGCATATCTGAATCTATCAACTTCTCTGTATAAACAACGATCCCACAGCTACTCCTTGAGACTAGGGGTGGACACAGAAGAGGCAAGGTCCATCATCAGAAAGGGAAATACAGCCAAAAGACTTGTATAGTTCCTGGGTATGAGCATAAGCCATTATATGCAAAATCTTCTTATGTTTATGCTGTATGCTTATACTTGTAACTTGAAACAGACAATTGGCCAATTGGCATCCCCACTCCTTTCCCAGGCAAAAATTAATGAGGAGCATTCTCCTCCTTTTTTCTACAGACTTCTATACTTATCAGGTGATCATTTCAACACATTTACTCTTTTAAAGCCAAGACAGCAGCCATACCAGTCATGTGACTTGTTAATAAGCTCATTTCTTATACCTGGTATTCCAGGGATCGCATGTTTTTCAAGAAGAGAAAGTGAGAAAAGAAAAGAATGAATGATTCCCTGGGTGATAATGTCATTTCACTCCCTATTTGGATTACCATTTTTGGCTCTGTCTCCAGCAAAATATTCTAAAGAGTGGTCTACACACTTCTCCCCCATTCTGTCTGTCCTTTTTTCATGTGCTATTACCACTGTTTTAACTGTTAGGTTACAAAATATGTCAAGGCTTATCTCCTCTTCTTGTTTAGAGCTTTCATGACTATGAAATTTAGAATCATCGTGTCTGGTTTCAAAATAATTATCTACCATTATGTTTATTTGGATCATCAGTACTATACAATTTATTTAGGGGCAAATTGACATCTTTATGGTGATCTTCCTAGATCACAAGAACATCAGGTGTCTTTCCATGATCTGATTGATGTCTTCTGTTGCGATTGTTCATAGTGTTAAAATGTATTTCACTCATTTCTTATTTAATTTATTCCTATATATTTTACCTTCTCTTGATGTTGCTATAAATTTGCTCTTTTTTACCCCACTGCAGCTTTACCCCACTATACCTGGTTGTTAAAGGTATATATGGGACATATTGATCTGTATACATTTACTCTGTGGATTGCGAGATTTCTGAATTCTCCTACTGCTTAGGTTAGCATTTCAGGTGTGTCCATATCTATTATCTGTATATATAAGAACATATGTACCAATATTTATTGTACTTACTGCATGTGCATCATATTGTTCTCTCATTGTATAGGCAAAATATATGTTAGAGTCATTAAAGTGTCCTTTCTAGTGCTTTCTAGTATGTTCTTCAGGGTTATCTCTACCTTTCATTATTTTGAGCTATTTTACAGATATATTAGTTGCAGAAAACTGATCATGATGTACACTATTCTTGATCATAGAAATACACATTAGTTATTCAATAGGATGCAACTGATTATTGCCCTATGAGTAGAGCATTTATTTATAAATTCATTTCAGCATTTGTTATAGTCTTCTATATGTGTGATATTTTACATTCTTCCATGAATTGTTGTAACATCTTGTCCCCCTGTTAATGAATGAACTAAACAAATTCTTTGACATGTTTTCATTTTTATATTTGTGAGTCCTGATTATGTTCTTTTTAAAAAAATTATCTTTAAATTGTTCCTTTCCTTCTTTTTGTTTCTGCTATTCAAAACAAAACTACACAATGGAATATAATGGAAAGAGGAGAGAAATCCCTGTACATTTTCCTATTTCTGGACATCCTTTCCCTTCTTTCAGCCTAGGAAGGAATTTGGGTATATTGCTGTTTATTTGGAGTTTTCTATCTTGAAAAACAAATTCATAATCTTTTTTCATATTCATAATTTTAAAAAAATTGGTTTTTGGGATGTTTTACTGGTTTTTGAAGATTTTAAAGAGAGTAGTAGAGATGGAGTTATTGATTTTAAGTAGTATTCCACTGACCACTGTAAACAATATTGTTTATAAATTATTCAGCACTTCAGTACACATGAATGAAAATCAACTTTAACTCACATCTTTAATATTTTCATACAACCAAAAAAGAGATATACATTAAGTAGACATAACATGACTTATTTTAATTGATCAGAATATCTTGTTTATGACTTACAGGTAAAAGAAATGGTGGTTTCTCTTAACCAATTAAAACCAAAAGAAAATTAAAATAAATTCACATTTAAAAAAATTATAAGCAATTAATTACAGCACTACACCTACCACTAATTCTATGTACACTGGATTACATTTGAGCAAACACCAAATTCCAGAATTGGTGTTTTACAAATAAATGCACTGGAAAATAACTTTAGAAAACTCAAAAAGGACAGATTAGAATTTTTTTAATTAAAATGTAACTTTCACAAGTACTCACAGAAAAATAGCAGATCTCCATTTTGAAAGTTAGAAATTCCCCCAATTAGTTTTCAGTAGATACCAAAAAAGTTTCCTTTTAAAAACTATTGATTGTATCTTTTCTTCATAAGTAAGACATAAAGGAGATCTTAATTAACACTTCAGCTTTAGAGAAGTCTAATATTTAAAAACATTACTCATAAAAAATATGGGTACAAAACTAACACTAAGTAATTATTGGATTCTTTCACCTGAAGGTTGTGCAATAGATGATTCTTGGCCAGAAGGGAAATCTGATCTGAACTTAATATGTTAAAAGCACAATAAAAAATAATGGAATATTACAGTATAATTTTAATAGAATGCTCATGGAGAGTTTGACATTTTCTACTGTCATTTATGGTTGAGACGACAGTTTGTCTGGAAGAATGAAGAAATACGTGAACAGTGTCGAACAAAGGATTTGAATCTGTGTCTTTGAATAATAAGTAGCTAAAAAGTGAGTTTATTTAAAAGAATTTTTGTAAAATTTAAACAGTAGCAAATCCAGAACAGCCTGCATTCCTTCTTAAGATAGCTTGCTATAAAATCCATAAATTTGAAACTAACAGTAAAACCTTTGCATGTATACAGATAAACTATAAATCTATTGACCAGACTATTTAATATGTTAATTCTTACTAATTTAGATAATTTTCCTGGACAATTTCAAATGACTTCTGAACTCCCAGTCTATTGACAGCTTAAGAAAGAAGCTATGATTACTAAGTCATTAGTTTAATCCATTTTAAACAAATTAACACACTAGGAAAACACATACACATAGTGATTTCTCCTCCTCAAATTGATTTTTACTAATTGAAGGCATTTTCATTTTTCAGAAATTTGAGTGGGAAATAACATTAGGGAAACTGAATCCCATTTAAATGTCAATTAATTCATTAGTAAGGCTTTCTTCCATCTTAATTGAATTACTCCCTAAACATTCTGACAATTCTTCTTCACTGATATATTCAAGTCTTTCACTGATTTTTAGTATCACATTATCATAGTAGCTCCATTAAAGCATTTTATATGATATATATATGTGTATATATATATATATATATATAGTATTCCTCTAGTTTTTTTTTTTAATAGTCTGGAACATTTCCAAAGCCATATATATTTATACAGTAAGAGTCAGAAAAGTAATATTTTTACTGGTGTAAAAACCATAAGAATGACAGGCTGACATTTATTACTGTAGGAATCCTTTAAAATTTCTGGATTAGAATGAAAGTTCATTGTCAAAATAAAAGGAGAAATATGTCAAACATACGTATTACTAAGTTATGAAAGAATCACCTAAGCTAATGTAATAAAACAGTGGCCTTGAGGTTTTTTTTAATAAATATTTTATATCATTTCATAGATATTTCTGTTCTCTTGGTTCTCAAACAAACTTCTGATGCTGGCATCTGGTTGTCTTTAAAATATTTACCAAATATAGAATTCCAGACTCTATTTTATTATAAAATCAGCCCAGACACAGTATCAGATATTAACAAGCATACATTGTTACATTATGTATTTGTTTTTTAAAAAAACTTATCTAGATTATATGCATTTGATTTGGGACTATAAAATAGATAACAGAGTATTTACAAGCTTATTTTCACAACAATTTTTTTTACAAACTTCCAAGAAAATAAGAAATCCTTCACTGATTTCCTTCATGTAAAATAATTGCGAATTTGTCTACACAGTAGAAATGGAAGGGCCAAAGTTTCTATTTACAGATACAGGGAAACTGATTCCCTCCCACTTGTGTAGTAAGATAGGAAAGTAGCTGACAAGGTGTAATATCAACCAAGATGTCTCCCTAATGATAGCAAAGTAGGATTGCATGTCCTACATACTGTTCGTCAAATTTCAAAAACAGATATAATATTGGATATGACTATGATGTATCAGCCAAAGAGTAGACAATAGCAGTTCTGCTCAGTCACTTTTCTTGGAAAATAATTACTTCTTTATCCAGTCCATTTGAAAGGGTAAATACAAAAAGGGCTAGAAGATTTACCGGGTTAAAAAAAAAAAAATCAACTGCACCAATGAATATGGGATAAAAATTTTAAAAACAAACAAATGGAAAGCTAATTTTCCCTCTGAGTCTGGAGGTCTTACCTAGCTCTCTTTAGTCAGTAAGAGTAGAATTGTGCCCAGTGTGTATATGAACTTTTACAGTCTTACTCATTTGTGAATTCATGCAGAGTGGTGTCCTAGAGCTGGTACGTACCAGCCTGTAAGAGTTGATTGTACTGACATTTTCCCAATTTCACATTCAGCAATGTCAAATGGGTAGCCTGAATTCAGCCGTGGTGGGAATACACCACAGAAACTGGAAAACATTACAAATCAGTGGTTATTTTTCTCCCAAAGAGCTAGTTATTAAACATTTAACAACACACTACTGAATTGATGTGAAGGTTTTCTTTGTGGCATTCAAGAAATTCATTGAATATTGAAGTCTTCTGGTTGTAAAGCCATAGATCGAAGTCCTTTAGTTAGGAGTGGCACAAAATAGTTAAGCAGTACTCCCTCAATTATCAATCATATAACTTTTCTGGTTTTAAGACAACATTTTCAATATCATGGATGCTTTTTCCATTTAAGTGTTCACTAGGACAGTCATGACTGTAACCTGTACCATCACTGATTGTTGACACTGTGTAGGATGCGCTTCGAAGAGCATCTGTATGGGAAAAGCTGTTTCCAAATTGGATTTTATATTGATTCCAATTTCTTTTTAGAATTGCTTGAACCTGTCAATCAAAAAGAAACAGAAAGGACAAGAACAATTCATTATCTGAAATAAAGATATTGTATTTAAAAGTACAATAAAATAATTTATGTAAAACTTAAAAAAAAGCATTGATGTTAATTAGTGAATAATACTGCTTTATTTTCTTAATTAAAAGAATTAAATTGGGAACATTAAGAAATTTTTATTTAGGAAATTCATTGCATTACTCTTTACTCTTAGATCCCATTAATATTTTATGCCTTATCTTTGAAGCTTTAATAATGCATATGAATGTATTATTGTCAAATAAGTAGTTAACCCAGACCCCCATTTGCAAGCTTGCATGTGTAACATTTAGTTTTATATCAGTATCTTAATAATAGAATGAGAAGACAATTAGTGAGAGTACAAAAGGAGAGAGAAAAGAGGTAAAAGAAAAAGAAGTTAGGGATACAAGGACTATAAATATTCATCATCATCATTAACAGCAGCAACTACTTTTTATTGAGTGATTATCATGTGCCAGGTATTGTGCTACATTCTGGAAAAAAGTTAGGGTGTTTGTCCTCCTGAACCTTACTACCCAGAGGGAAGAAAGTGTTGAACAGGTAATTACAAATGGGATAAGCCTGTGAAAAAGTTTAGGAATGTCACCACTCCACTTCTTTGTGTTTGGATCCCCCTCTGACTGGGTGAATTTGATATTTAATGACTTCCTTCTTCTCTAGGGCTAGAGATCAGGACCGGTAGGCCATATATAGTGACTTTGGTTTTAACTGAACGTGAGACACTAAGGGGATTTTCTTCATATTGATTCAGTAAGTGGAAATGAGAATATTCAAATACATCTCCCACTTGGTAACCTGGATATTTCCAAGTGTCTGATGATTGGGCAGACCAGTGTGGGGCCATCTCCTACTTTACGAGTGTATTAGCCACATGCCTGTGACATAAGTTAGGTCTGTCCAAAACATGTCTAGCTTTGAATTGTCTTCCCCAAGCTCTCAACTGCTCTTTGACATTTTGATTGCTTCCTCAGGGGCAATCTGAGCATCACTAAAAGCAATTTTCCAATAATCCATGTACTAGAAATATACTCATGCAATAATTGTCTACCTTGCTACTAATTATATAGAATTCCTCAACTCTTCATTCACTGTATTCATGTGTAAAAATTAATATTAAATATTAAATATAAATATTAAAATAGGGCTGGTTTATTTAAGTCTACGTTCTTTTGTCTAATAGACCTAGAAAACTTCTCCAAATTATGAACAATCTATTACTAATAGGTATTCCCAGGAGCTCTTTTAATGAGAGGACTCTGTGGGATACTTCAAAGTCCTTTTAGAGTCTCCTGTACTCTGTCACTTAAAATGAACACCAAGTTTTACTGTCTCACCTTATATTTTAACATGTAGAAAAATGGAAGACACAAATACAAAGTCAATGGGTTTCTTTAGTTAGAATTCAAAATGAGTTATTAGAATTTCAAGTATTATATAATTAGAAATGCAATAAATGAGGGCGCCTGGGTGGCTCAGTTGGTTGGGTGACTGCCTTTGGCTCAGGTCATGATCCTGGAGTCCCTGGATCAAGTCCCGCATCGGGCTCCCTGCTCAGCGGGGAGTCTGCTTCTCCCTCTGACCCTCTTCCCTCTCATGCTCTCTCTCATTCTCTCTCTCAAATAAATAAATAAAATCTTTTAAAAAAAAAAAAAGAAATGCAATAAATGTGTTTTAAATGTATTTTTGTGAAATTCAGAACTTCAGGACTTTCAAGTTTATATATACACACACATATATATAAACTGTATCTGAAGGGAATAATTTATGTTCTTGTAAATTTTCTTTGAAATAAAAGCATTTATAGGACAACAAATACATTTATCTTGCAAAAAAGTATATACTACTGCTTCCCTCATGATTTAGTAATGTCTTTCTTAATTCTCCAAATAGCATGTTTAAATTAAAGTAATTTAAAATAATGTCTGCATATGTAATATCTTCATGAGCATAAGCAAATAACAAATGGAATGGCTTTAGAGTGTGCTTTTTAAATAAATATTCAAAGATTTACAACAAAAATGACTTTGGCCAATTATCTAGATATTTCTGATGGGAATTGTTTTTGATCCTGATTTTCTGCTAAATTCATTTCTCTTCACTTTGTTACTAAATGATGGACTGACTGAATACATTTACTATATAGTTTCTGTTTGAAAGAAAATAGAATGTAACTTTATACAAAAGATTCTACATAAATGTTGGGAAGCAGCTGACAAGAAGGAGTATCTTAGCTGTGAATGTAATAATTATGTTCTTAAAAATGAAAGCTTAAATTCAATTCCAACCATCAAAATGACTTTTGAAATATCTGACTGCTCTTGAAATATCTGCTTTGATTACAATCATCACCCTATTTCTTCCTTACAACCAAATCATCAGAAAAACCATGGAAGTTCAATTTCCTGAACTATGGGGACTTACTGAAGTTAAAAATGAACCTAATTAAAGACCCATTGGCCTTGTAGGCATCTGTTTGTTTATATTATTCTCTATAAGGATTTGTTTTTCATCTGCTTCCTCTAATACAATGTCATACTGTTCAACAGAACATTAAAGTGGCCACTCTTAATACACCTTTAATGAGAAAACTGTAATGGGGAAAGATAACAAGGAAAATTGCAATTGGAAGGGAAGATAGCCTGATGTTATTAAAGATATGAAAATGTAAATGTTATACAAAGAGTAAGGCCAACTGTTTTTACAATGTAACGTTACAACTTTATATGCCCATTAGCACTTGATAAGGAATCAATTCTATATTCCTTAACCTAAATTAGTTAAAAAATAGTTAATAGAGCTTCATATAAAAATGCTACCTAGTTCTCATTATAAAATATAGGTTTGGTTATTCTCAATAAATCTCTTTGTTCACTTTATAAAAGTATCTCTCTCAGGTGTTGTTAGATTTACCCCTGAGGCTAGGGAGGGCACTTCTAATAACTAGATCTCTAGTTTATGCTAACAGTCCATATTTGGCTGAGTGGGCTAGAGATGAGATGAATGTGTCCTGAGCACTTGTCATGCCACAATTATTTAACTAGTGAGAAATGCAAATAGAAATATTTTGGCTTAAAAAATAAACAAAGTGTGAGAGTAAAAAAAAAAAAAAAACAAAAACAGTAGAGACTACGCTAAAGGGAAGCTACTTGACCTCCTGTGGAAAGCAAGAAGGGAACGTAAGCCCGAGAAAATGATTTTAAGAACTACATGACATAGTTGGAACCACACAAAATGAATCTGGCAGTTGTGCCTTCATGTTATGAGAGTGGGAAAAACTAAGAGGCAAAAAGACAAAAAAGGAGGGATTATAGTATTTCTTAAGATGAGAAATGAGTCATCCACAAATAGGGATTGTATCTTGAGAGATGAAGAAAAGGGGACACATATTGGAGATGTTGTAAAGAACCAAAGGATTTGGCAACAACTAGGCTCAAAAGATTTTGTATTATTGTAATTTTTTACTGCCCAAATTTTCTCAATTTTAGGACATGGCAGAAGATCAAGGTCTGGGTCTCTTTTGGTTACACAGAGAGTGCAATCAGAGTATTAGGCATTAGTTTAGATATTCCCTGGGCAACCTTTCCAAATAAAAAGTCCAATTTGAGATTGACTCCAATATGACTAATGCTCCCATTTGTGCATGTATTTTTGAAAATGAACGAGTTGAGAGATCTAGTAAGGAATCTGTAATGTACTGGTAATCTACTAAGGGTGGGGCATGGTGCTAAAAGCTTTAGATTCCTAGCTTACACTAATCTTTGTGAGACTTGTGTAAGGAACTTGCTTTTATTTCCTTTTAATAAAAGTAGACACTGAGACTCTAGGAGGCTCAGGATATTGCCCGAAGTATTACAGCCAGGAACAAAGTGGCATCTTTGGGGTAAAAACACATTGCTGTATCTGTGCTTTTATTCTACATTGCTTCCTATCACAAAATATTTTACTAGTGATTATGATTAATACATTTAGAAATTACCCTTTATTAAAATGAAATCTGTTTCTGCAAGTAGAGAGGTATATTGTTCATATTGTATGCCTGTTCTTTGGCATGTTGTCCATTTCTCTCTCATCTATTTTAATTGTAAAATCCTATATAGGCAGCAAATAGGATTGTCTAATTCAGCTCATGCAATCACAAATTTATAGAAGTACATAATAAATGCTATTTGAATTTTATTATCAAAACAAATGATTTATCTATTCTTCCTCATTGCATTTTACATCTGTACTTCTCAATGACTTCAGAAAAAGTCACTGTCGTCCACTGTATAACAGAAAAATCATGGAAGCACCACTTAAAGATACGAAATATAGCCTACTATATTTGACAGTTCTACACTCCATTATAAATAATAAATAAATGAAATAAAAATTTTTAAAAATCAATTTAATAAAATCAAACATGAAATTTCATCATGTGCTAAGAGAAAGAAGTAAACAATTATTAAGCAAAGGAGAGCAATATTTTATAGTTTTTCATGACATGTACATGATTTCCAATGTTGATTTATTTTTTAGGAATAGTTCCCATAATGTTACACCTACTGGTCCGTATGTTTCCCATCTGAAGCTTTGCGATAAGCTTCACAGTTACCAAGTATTTGAGTCTCACTCAGTTGCTGTCTGGATTTCTAAACTTTGCTGAATTTTACAAAATCCTCCAAAAGGTTAAAATTTGTCAAATAGATTAAAAACAGATAAAGAGCTAAAATCAGTATAGCTCAAACCACTGAGCTATAACACTATTCATATGCATAAGAACCTTGGTACCAGTTTCTAAAACACCTGAAGCTTTCTTATTCGGAAAGCCTTGGATAAAAATCTTGAAATATCCAAGAGCACATTGCCATGTTACAAATTACAGCATTCTGTTCTCCTCAGTTTTCTAACTTATTGCATGCCCTCCCTGTATAACTGAGAGTTTAATTCTTTAAAATCTTTTTGTAACAACCATAAAACTGTTTTCCAAACCACATTGTGAGCCAGGCAAAACAAAAAACAGAGAAAGGGGGAAAATGAAAATGAGTCAATTCTATTTCCTATTAGAGTGTATGTTTTATGAGGTTAAGGATTGCCTAGCATTGTACCTACGACAAAGGCCAGACTTACTAGGATTAGTGCAAAAGGTAGGTCAAAGGCTACATGACTGGGGCGCCTGGGTGGCTCAGTCTGTTAAGTTGGCTGCCTTCAGCTCAGGTCATGATCCCAGGGTCCTAGGATTGAGCCCCGCATCGGGCTCCCTGCTCGGCAGGGAGCCTGCTTCTCCCTCTCCCTCTGCCTGCCTCTCTGCCTACTTGTTCTCTCTCTCTCTCTCTCTCCGTCAAATAAATAAATAAAATCTTAAAAAAAAAAAAAAAAGGCTACATGACTAAAAGTCACTGATGGACTATTTTAAAGTGAGGCTGGATTTGCCCTACTCTCGAACTCCAGTATGACCCAAGCTTTTGGGAAGAAGAGTTGCATCCATGAAAAGAGATTCGTTTTTTTCCTGATCAAAATGGAATTTGAAGTAGTTGTTCCTAGGGAATGTATAATTGTCTTTATTTTTAAGAAAAAGATGTATTGCAAATATAAAACGATAAAAGGAATAAAAATAATCACCATACCTCTCCATTAAAGAAACAGAAAATTGTAGAAACCAGAAGACCCTGTAAAAGAAAAACAGAATTTTCTGATTCCAAATGGAAAAGATACATTATTTGTAACCAACTTGCTACATACATAGTCAAACTAAACCAAAGCTATATGCAATTTAATACCAAACTTCACAAGGTGCCTTCCTGATTCAAGAACACCATACCTGATAGTGCATAAGGATGTGCATAATGTAGTCATATATCTCCTCTGCAATCCTTCCTTCAGGTCGCCACGGAATCAGCACAAATTCAATGCCAAGTAACGGCACCAGGATAAGTGTAGCTCTCACAGCTTTCATGTAGAGATTGGATTCTGCTTGGTGAGTAACTTTTAACTTGGTAATGAGAACACGTACAATATTTAATAGAAAAAAAAGATTCACCTAAAAAAATAAAATGGCATATTGAAAACTGTTTAATATTTAATATTAAGAAGCATTACTGAAGGATCTTTGATTTTATAAGTCATAGATTATTTTCAATGTACAAGAATATGTTCTACTGCAGAGAATATATGCCTAATATATTAATTTGTATTTCTAGAGTTGTGATTTATTAATTTAACAAGCGCATCGATGTTAGTGGACTTAGTTTTAGAAAAATAGAATTATGGTGGAATTATTGTGGAACACATTCAGTTAAGGAATATCTGAGTGTTTTTCTCAGCTCATTTTCTTATGCAGTTTTTTTTAAATTTTGCGATGGTCCAAAAACAAAGTTTTTTGAACATTTTCAGCTCAAACAAAGGAAAGAATTGTTTATAACAAATGCTAATTTTTTTAGGTGTCTCCTCTTTATCACTGTCCATACTAGTACTTTCCAAATACATATTATACCATAATAACCATTTTCATCTTTTTGGTTTCTCCTTCCTGTGTTTCCTTTTCTAACAGTAATCCTCACAACTCCTGAGATAGTACTGTAAGCTTCTTTATCATTCTAAGGAGGCTGATCACACACTAAAACCAGCTGATGTTCAACCTAGATCACCCTAGAGTTAAAACAATTTTGGCATCCCACAGGGCCGTCTGTTAATTACTTTCTGTAATTACATATTTACTGTGTGTTAAAAACTTCTCCCAAGAGAAATCATTCTCTTTGAAAGGGAGCTATAAAACTTCAAAAATTTAGTGTGGATAACTAAGTCACTCAGGAAACAGAGTTCTGCTTTAATATATCTCTCTCGCTCTCTCTCTCACTTTGAATACCACTTCCTTATCTTCATCCAAGTCAATATCTTTTATGCTTGTCTATTTTTTCTGTGCCCATATTTTGTGCCTTCCATAAGATTATGGATATTAACTCCAGAAGATCCCCTTAGGGCTCTTATGTCATTACGCTATATTCTCTTTACTTTTTCTTCACCCTGACTTCTAGCATCTATGCTTCAATAATCTAAAGCTTTTAAACTACATCCTGATAAGTAATTTATATCTGCTTACCTTAATAAATTGGAATAATAATGATAGCCCCTCATTTAATATAGAAAACAATGAACAAATAACATAGATATGCTGACTTAAGACATGTGTTATGAAAATAACTGGGCATAAAAATATTCCACTACTATTCTTAGAGAATCTAATGGGACATATGCTCCAAAGTTCACCACAATACCGATGGAAACACATCTATGAAAAGTAACATGGTTATAGACACAGGAATGTCTCTGCTAAAGACAAAAGCAGAATAAGCCATTTCAACAGGTGTAAGAATGAAACATGACAAATCAACACATCAGCTGTTTTTCCACCCATCCTATTATGTTCCCTTCCTAAGCACTCATGGCTATTGTAAAGTTTTGACTAAATGGAAATTACTACCAGCCCATGAAAGAAAATATAATAATGCCCTTTTATCTGCTTATAAATTTAGAATATAAAATATTTTATAATCCTTACATGCAAAAATCATAAATTATAAAATCAGTAGAAATGTTGCAATTTAGATGCTCATTATATGAAAATCTCTAAATGCAAAGTGCTTTTCCAAAATGGCAAATCTGATTTAAAATGTGAAACTAGAAACTAGAAAGTCATCCTACTTTATTTTCTGCAAATACTTCCATTTATTTTGAATAGGATTGAATAAGAATTTTAAATTTCAGATGACCTATATCTGAATCTCATCTATCTTTGAGCAAAACTAGTTAAGGGGAAGAAAAGAAATCTGTTTTTATTCCAGTACTCATAAAGATCATGTAACTGGTAGGCACAACAGGACATTTTCATATCATGATCCCACACTCGGGTCATGAAAGGGAGCAGTGGGCCTCAGCACAGTGAGGGCAGGAGGATTCCTAGAAGCCATTCCCAGGCTAGAACAGCCAGCAATCACTTAACTATACACTGAACTGACTTAAAAATCTCTCGCTAAACACAAATTAAATGTATCCTCTCTCAACTTCCCTTTGGCAAGATCTCAAAAGTGCTGTAGCCACTCAAATACCATCCTGCTCAAGAGGAAATGTGACAGGGGAAGTCTGAGTGGAAATAAACTGATTGAGGTTGAAATATTTTATTTATAAAAGTTGTACTTAAGCATGTGACCATATAAACAATTGCTAAGGCCCCTCCCAAGACCTTGGAATCGGCCAGAACCAGTGAGGAGCCCTAGAACTCAAACAAAGACAGAACAATTTATCGTGTTAGAAAAATAGGCTCCTGCTCTTTTTTAAGCCAAGAAAATGGAAAATGTTTTAGGCAAATAATGTGGATTTTCACTTTCTTTCTTTTAGAGTAGCTTTATGGGTTATATTTCTATGTGATATTCTACCCTTAACTGCACCATCTACTCTTCCCTCCCAAAATTGATGTGGAGGGGCTTTTCCAAGGATTGTGTTAGTTGCAATTACATTTTTTATTTGCTAGGTGCTTTTACTTAATTTCCTGAACCTCTCTGATTTAAGCATTTGAATTACCCCTCTGAAGAATCAGTCAGATCACTCGTAATAAAATTTTGCCTTATATTTGTTCTGTAAGCTCCTGGGTGGCCCAAAAAACATATCTTATTTCTTTGCACACTCCTCAGAGCAAAATCATGGTATCATGTAGAAATTACAAGAAAGTTTTTAGAGCGTTTTTTGGGAGAGCTTACTGTATTCTAGGCACTGTGCTGACAAGATGCATCTCATTTAATCCTTACAATACCTTATGAGGTATCTATTATTATTCCCTAATCACAGAAGAGACAACAAAAGTACTGAGAGGTTAAATACAACAAAACAAAACACCCCCCAAAAAAACAGAACTTGCCCTGATACACACAGCCAGATGTGGTAGAACTAGATTTCAATGTTGGCTCTAAGATTACAAAGCTAGGACATCTCAAGGTGTAACTTAAGTCCGGTGTATCATGCATGACCCTAGTGTGTGCAGGGCAGAAAGGAAGGAAATGCTTCTGCCTATGAAATTCTCACTAGAGTCTACATTAAGCTATATTAAACTTTCCATAATCGCTGTAATAACTTCCATGGGTTAATTTTTGAGCTTATGTGGTCAGGCACAAATCAGAAGTTTGACACTTGCTACATGCTTTATACATGCCAGGTTAAGTCCTTTATAGGTGTTAACTCATTGGACTCCTTGTTTAAAAGATTAAAAATCACTATTATTATATTCTTTATCTTACCAATGAGGCACTTGAAATGTAGAGTGATTAGTTTAATTGCCTAAGGTCATACAGCAAGTAAAAGGTGGAAGAAGTGTTCAAGCCCAGGCCTTCAGCCTCCAGAAGTTTCTCTTAATTGTGGCATGCTTTTGAGAATGGCTCGAACAATATTCTAACATAATCGTATGCTAAACTGCAATTAGCAAATATAGTAAAATAATAGAAGAATCCTTGTCTAAAAAAAAGAATTTGAAAACAAGGATTAGGAAGCTCTGAATTTTGACCGAGAAACATAGCCCCCTTTATCTTTTTCTGTATAATTGAATATCACCTGTAATTATAATCTCAGACATTAATCACATTCTGGTGTCTAATGCTCTATGAAAACAACCCTGTTAATGTGGATGAATTTATTTCCCCATTGAAACAATGTAATAAAAGCACTGAATGTGACTTCTGTTTCCCTGTAACCACACTTAAAAATGTCCAATTGCTGTATTTGTGTTAAGTGATGATCCTTATGACAGTAAAACAACAGTTTAACCAATACTCTCTTTTTCCAAATTAAAGTCTTTTCTTTATTGGAATATTACTCTTATTACCAACATAGGTGTGTAGTTTTCCCCATTTGCCATTCCCTCTCACTAGATCTATCCTCTGCCCTTCTCTGTTCTGCTCTGCGTCCCAGGAAACTCTGAGGCACCTTGAAGGACTGCACCCTTGCCCAGGCTTCTTGCTCTCTGCCATTTGCTGCATTTGGCCAGAGGGAAGAACCAAGTAATCAGGGCATAGGAAGAGAGAAGTTTGAGTATTTCTTCCTCATTCTTCTTCCCTGCCAGGCTGTGGTTTGGGCAGCGGCTGTGTTCCTCTACTCAGGGCCATGCCTCCCAGCACCGGCCCAAATCCTGAAACACTGTTCTGTCCCCTCTTTAGGTCTAAAGCCATTAACAGTTTCCCGCTGCAGGTCCCTGGTGCCTGGCCATTCCTTATGAATTAGCTCCTTTCCTCTTCCTGCAAATACCTCAAATTAACACCTTTATTAAACTCTCTTCAGTTAAACACTGTGAACATGTCATTTATGTACACCAGGATCCTGAAAGATACCATAGGCTGGATGACTCAGGAAATAAAGTTGAAATATGAACAATGACGAAACAAGGAAAATTTTCATTACGTACCAGTAAAGCAGCACAAATTGGACCATGGATAATGTAGAGGAGATGGGTATCAGAACTGATCCAGCAGCTTGGGGAAAAAAACAGCAAAATTATGTTGGATATTTTCATTTATGTAGTTCCAATAGAAATCAGAAAGAGAGATTATCTTACTTGTCATTGTAATATAAGCTTCTCGCCACAGCATGTATACAAGCAGGGATCAGTGGAAATCCTGCAAATATCAAACAAAAAATGTGGTCATAAAATATGAAACTCAGAGGTACCCTGGGAGCAAAAACAACTGGTCACTATATGTTTAATGAGTAAATATTTTCTGTATAGTCAAGCAATAAATATGGTAAATATTAGGTATTTATATGTCCAGGTTTGTGTGTCTGTGTGAAGTCATTTTGAATCAGTGGACTTCAGAGCCTAAGTCCATAAATGTGCTGCCTAGGCCCCAAGGCTTAGAAGAATTCATATATATATTTTCTATGATATGGAATTAGCCAATATTTATTTAGTAGGATGTGGGAAGAAGTTGAGACTGACCAAGTGAAGAAAAAGAGAGGAAGAGAGAGATGGTTTATATATTAGATATTTTGCATGTTTTTAGCATTCTAAATGAGATCTTTCCAACATGAAATGAAGACATGCTTTATAAAGGTAACCTATACTAAATATACTGAATATACTAAAGAGTGTGTGTGTGTATGTGTGTGTGTGTGCGTACATACCTTTATATATCTGTATCTATTGTCTGACTAGATAGATAGGTAGATTGATATATGATAGATAAGTATAATTTCAGTTATGTTTCTAGAAACTAGTCCAATTGAATTCATTTTCAGAATTTTATATTTTGAATTATTCTAGTTGTTTTTAAAAATACACTAGAGGCACAAATCAAGAAACTGACTCTTAGTTACAGAGAACAAACTGATGATGACTAGAGGGGGAGGTGGATGGGGGATGGGTGAAATAGGTGACGGGGACTAAGGAGTGCAGTTGCTGTGATGAGCACAGGGTGGTGTACGGAAGGGCTGAATTACTATATTGTACACCTGAAACTAATATAATACTGTATGTTAACTAACTGGAATTAAAATTAAAACTGAAAAAAACAGAAAAAAAGAAAAGGAAATATGCTAGAAGTGTATCATTATTTGCACTGTGAATAATACCATGTCAGGAGATTGTGTGGAAAAAAATAGATCTTTTGTGTGCCTTTATTCAATTACTGGCCCCTCTATTCTTAAGATAAAATGATATTTTTTAAAAAACAAACTTTTTTTGAGTGGAATTTCAAAGCTGGCTAAGCCCAATGCCCTCATTTTGCACAAAGGAAAAGGAGATTCGAGCAATATGAAGACTAGTTCCCTAATTCATGATTCTAATTCTGTCATGTTAGCCACTGCATACTTAGCCAAGATACACACTGAAATATTAAATAGAAAAAAACCCAACCACATTGTATTATTGACCTGTGACTACTGAAAACCATGAGTCAGTGGTTCTTGTTTAAATATTTCAATTTACAGCAATAAGCAAAGGTTGATCACCTGCTGTTGTTTGAGAATGATTAATAATAAGTATATTTTTATTACAAAGGAGCTCTGCATCCTCTAAGAGCTTTCTTAAAAGGTGAGTCAGCAAACACGTGTAATGGCACTTACCCCAGCCAAGAAAATAATACCATATCAAATGTTGCTTTTCCGCAAACACAGCCACCACAATGAGCGTGTGTAGGTAAATGCCTTCACAAAGCATCCAAAAGTAGTTACAGCCCATCAGGTAAAGATGAATGAACTGAGACACTTTACAACTAACCTGTGAGGAAAAAAAAGAAAGTCATCAATATTTAGTTGTTTATGAATTCAATAGTCTAGTTTAGGTTAGTTATATAGAGACCTGGAATTTTCTCTCCTCTACACAAAATCTTATATACTGATGATTCAGATTTGTAAAATGCCAGTCTTCATCCTGATCTAATGGTACCTATAAAGTTTTTAAGCACTGACTCTAAAGATTTATAATGGTATACCTTCCAGGAAATGTGTAAGTTCCATATTTATTACAGTTAGTGGATGTGTTTTTTCCAGATACATTTTTTCATGAAAAGTGGCCAAAATTGAAAGTCTTACATATTACTGCTACCAATACAATTACTTAGTAAATAATAATCTAATGGGCCCATATTTTATATGGGGTTGAGGATTTCATGTAAGTAAAAAGAAGAAAAAGTTATGGTTTCCTTCCTCTTTTTCTGAGATCCCCACTTTCTCTTCTCTATTCTTAAAGAGATCAGAAGAGGAAGGTTCAAATACAGGGTACAGTAAACATGAAGGAGTAAGATATATATTTTGCTCCCTTAGAAAGGAGAATAAATTTAAAACTCTCCCAGAAATACATGGGCATTTACTCTCCACAGCTCCCAATTTCTAGTCTGGTCAATAAATATTTGGTGGCAATTATCATTATTTTTGAAATAAATTTTTTTTTTTCACTAAAAAGAAAATTGGAAGGGAGATACACTAGAAAATAGATATTGGGGTTCTCATAGAATAGTAATCATGACATGTGCATATTAGTTAGCTTAAAATATTTTCAATATGTTATTTTATTTAATCTTTAATTCTGTGTGACATAATTTATCACTAGTCACTTATTTTACAGATAGAAAACTGAGTACTGGAGAAGTTAAGTGATTTGCTAATATTCATACAACATCAATCTAAGCTATACACTGAACACAAGTCTTATAATTCCAATTTTGTTTTCATGATTATACACAATGCCTTCTGCCCGTAGGACATTTATAAAACCTATTCTTCCATTAAATACATTGGCAGAATGCATAACATTAAACTTTAAAATAAAGTATCTTGATGTCAAACATCATGTTATATTAACAAAGTCTTCTCAAGGGTAAAGTGAGTTAGTTAACTATATTTATATAGAAATAACAGACTTCAGCTTCAAATTTTTATCTGGTATAGTTTTTAGACATGCATATCCAATTGGACTTCTTACTCCTGATTTCACTTAAAAAATTCATCTATAAGCCACTATGATAAAAAGAACTTAAAACATGCTTCAGGAAAGCATTTTTATGAAGGGCATTGCTGATATAAACAAACAACAAATTTTCCAAGAATATATTAAAAATATATTACAGCCTGCAATTTGTACATTAAACACAATATCCTTATATCTAAATGTAAGCTTTAGAATCTCTTGCTCTGTAGCTTCATGATGAAACTTCTCATCTCTTTGCTCTAGAGAAAGTCACTCTAAAGTGGTAGGCCATTGGCCAGTTTTTTTTATGTTGCTAAATCTATCCCAGTGTGTTTCCTCACCTAGTGACATTAGAGTGGAACATACACAAGATTAAGCAATCCGGATACACATGTGCAAACAATGCAGGGAATTTTAGGATTTGGGAAATTACCCTAAAACACACGTAAAACACATAGGAGAGTATTGTTTATTGGCCCACTGAGTGAAAATTCCTTCCCTTCCGTGATTTCTACTGAAATCTAGTTACTAATCTATCTAGTTACTACTAGATAACTTAATCTTTAAAAAACCACTTTATGTACACCATATATATATATATATACCCCTCCACAAATCCATATCCAAAACTGTAGTATGGATACTATAAACATTATGAAAGCAGATGATTTTAAATACTTGAAAATATGCTTTTATTTATGCAGATACTTTAAGTATAGCTCACATTTGCATAAAATATATACACTTATATTAGTAAATTTTAGTTTGTGTTTTAAAATATGGCTTTTATATTATGACAGTCTCTGTGCTTATTTTTATGTAGCTTTTGATACTCATCCTAAAAATTGTGCTTCCAGAAACAGTCCCCAAAATACAGAGAACAAACTATGTATGGTTACCAGGGATGGAGGGTAGAGGAGCGAGAGATGGGCAAATTGGGTAAAGGGGAGTGGGAGATACAGACTTCCAGTTATGGAATGAATAAGTCATGGGAATGAAAGGTACAGCATAAGAAAATATAGTCAATGGTATTATAATAGAGATGTATGGTGATGGATAGTAGCTACACTCGTGGTAAGCATAGCATATAGAGTTGTCGAATCACTATGTTGTACACCTGAAACTAATGTAACATTTTGTGTCACCTACACTTCAGTAAAAAAAAACTTAAAAGAAAAACAAATTGTGCTTCCAAAGGGATTATAAGGAAACAACTTATAAATATTTGCTGAGATACTGAGGACCTGGTAGACTCCTTTAAAAAAAAAAGTCTCATGTTAAGAAACTTTAACATTACATAGGGGATGTACAATTCATTTTCCCCAGTTTAATTAACTATTTAAAGTCACCTGATCCCAAATATATAATTTAATTAAAATTTTTCTGTTTTCATGCCTTGTGTTTCTAACTACATCTGTAGTTAGTTGCTTTGATTGATTTTTTAAATTCGATTGAGTAAATGTTACATGGTCATAAACCCTTAAGTCACACCAGCAGGAAGACTCTAGCCATAAAATGAGGTGAAGATATGTATAACATATATAAATAATTGAAGCAAAGACATGTATTCCTCCTTTATAACTTGGGAAAGATTGAGATGTATTTACCTTTATAGACTGGAATATAGATACATATAGTCTCTAGATGCCAGACCTTAAAATATATATATGAGTATTTATACACATTTACATATATCAGGACCCCCCACCCCCTACCTCCCACCACCACCTTTCACTCACATTTCTTTCCCTCTAACCTCTTGAACCTAGGGCACAACCTCATTTTACTTACAGGATTTGTGGCCACTAAAGCCTGGTTGTTGGCCACTGCAGTGAGATGAATGATTGTTACAATAGAGTTACAAACAAAAGAGAAAAAGAGATTTTTGTGCAAGGTAATCCTTTGGCAACTTAGGCTCCTAAAAGGCAAGAGAAACCAAATATTTTATTTTTATTAATAATCATTCAGATAAGATACATTCACAATTCATAATAACTGCCTCAAATCTGGAAGAATTATTTTTTTCTCCCCAAGATTGACTCATGATAAAATCTTAATTAGGGAAAACCTGTAATTCCTTAAAAGAGAGCAAATGAGTTGCTTCAGGACAGGTAGACATTCGTAGGAATAGAAATTTGCCCATACAAGGCTTCTAGATAAATTTCTTCTGTGAATGTCTCAGCATGAGTAATGTTTTCATTTATTTTGAAAATGTAGAAACTGAGATTCAGTGAAGTTAATTGATCAAAAAATCCTACAGCTAATTAATTTTGAAAACTTCAGATTTGTCTGTCAGAATCTTACACAGATAATGTTCTTTTCATTATACCACAAAGGTTGTTCTGTTTATATAGCCTGTTTATGATTGTTTATGGTTTTTCTATTTATAGAGCCTCTGTGTGGTGGTAGTGATTATGCAGACCAACCATGAGAAAGATAACACTGTATTCAGAACAGATAAACTTATAAAAATATAGACTTAGAAACCAATGATGTTTGTTTGTTCAGCTTTACTGAATTTTCTTTCTAACTGGCCCAGCCATATGTAAGGTATAAAAATATTACCACTTGTGACTGGAGGTCCTCCTATATAAAACAAAATTAAAGAACTGGCTCATATAGAAATAATTATATATATTTTATATAAATATATATATTATATATAGTATATATAATATATATTCATATAGAAATAAATTTTAGGAAAAGTAACGCCATTCCTCGGATTGAATCCACATCTACTCTACCAGATTGTCTGCATATGACTCTATGCTCAAAGACCAACTCAAGTTCTACCTCTTTCATGTAGCGTTTATTTGAACACTTACGGGCAAAGTTTTAAACTAATAGAAAGGAATCCATTTCAAACTGAATACTTAATATCAAAACAAAACACGTATGTAGGGAGACAGGAATGATTTCATTACAGAGACTTAAAAGTTCATTTTGTATTTTTACAAAATTATGTAATTAATATGGTTAACCTAGATAACCCACCCTATTTAACACAAACTAATGACTTCTACTTTGGGAACTTCAAGGAGATTTTAACTTAAATTTTTTTTAAGATTTTATTTATTTATTTGACAGAGAGAGACATAGTGAGAGCAGGAACAAGCAGGGGGAGTGGGAGAGGGAGAAGCAGGCTTCCCGCGGAGCAGGGAGCCCGATGCGGGACTCGATCCCAGGACCCTGGGATCATGACCTGAGCCGAAGGCAGACGCTTAACGACTGAGCCACCAGGCGCCTGATTTTAACTTAATTTTATCACTGTATCACCTTATCCTAAATAAATCATGTGCCCAGGATATTATAGTTAGGCTGGGATGCCAAGGTTTTCTATATTTAAAAATGCAAAGTTTAAGCTATATTGTCTCTGAAATTTCTTCCAGCTATAGATCTGTGATTTTATATATAGCTTTAGTATTTTAAAGGGTCTAGAAGTGAATTCCGTCCAAACCAGTATTTACTGATTTTTCAATACATGCCTTCCACAGAAGTGGGTGCTATGAGGGAAACGATGAAAGACTTCATGACTGAGATGGCTCTGGGGCAATCAACTGAGCATAAGACAGTCATATACGACAAGTATGTGAAGTGCAGCCGGAGTCCTTCAAAATAGAAACAGCTCTGAGAGCTGCTCGTATTTTTGTATTAGAGAGTCTTTGATTTGACTTTGCAGTGTATGAGAGGTGTGAGAGTCAGGCAGGGATCAAACAAAATTAATGAATGTGAGAAGAGGTTTAGTAAAGAATATTCTTTTCAGATCATTTGTATCATGAATGGTTTGTTTTTTTATAATTGGTCACTCTTCACATTATGAACATATAAAATTTGTCTACATGGTCTTAGTTTTAAATGCCTTCCTTGAGCTTACTCTGTGTCTGTGGAGTGCCAACTATTGTCTAGGGGAAAACTGCCTACCCAAGCAAATATGTACTTTTTTCATAACAGTATTTGAATAACTCAGCTACCACCATGGGAAAAATAAAAAATGTTTTCCTTAGCTGGGATATTTTGCCCTTTTCTGCTGAACACACTTATATTTAGGTTCATTGGTTAAGACATAACATATAAACAACAAAATTTCATAGTTTTAAAATTATGACCAAAACACTGGGAGAGTTTGCTTAAACAGCAAATAAGAAATGTTTGTAAAGAGTAAATTGGAATGAAGGAAAACAAACACTAAATAAGGCTTTTAAAAATAGCAATTCATGATAGAAGAGCCTAAAGATGAGCTAAGGAATGCAAAATGAGTAGCACTTATATTATGACTATTGGTGTTTGTAATATTCACATGTGCAAAGATTAAAAATAAGTAAAATGAAATGCTAACTGTAGTTAGTTGAAAACAATTTTAATTTTCTTTGTGTGCACTTAAACTTCCCTTTCTCCTCTATGATAGTGTATATTTCTGTTCCTCAGAATTCCCACTTTTTCTGATGACTGCTCACACCTCAATCTGGTTTGAAAGTTAAGGACCTAAAAATGACCTAAAAAGATGTAGTTATTGTGAGTCCACCAGCAAAAAAGAAATTGCTTCTTACTCTCTTACTCTGTGATAAATGGATATATTGCATTTTCCCCTTTGAGAACCAAAATAATGCCATATTATGGGCAAAATTTTGAAATAATAAAATGAAATCCTATTACAAATAAAATATTTAATATAAAAACCAAACAAATACTTAGGAGGTTACATGAAATCATTTCAAAACAGAGACATAAAGCTTATTTTGAGTGTTTTACAAAATATGGTCAACATAGATAATCCACCCTATATAATTCAAACCAAAGACTTCTGCTTTGGAAACCCTGATATCCAGTTTAGCTGTTCATATTGTTCTGTTGAACTGAACCATTGCAAAATAAATTCACTTTGTGTTATGTAAATATGTCCAACTATCTATAATATTAGCCTATGGGAGGAGTTTCTTCCATTTCTTCCTCCAGATTCTGTGCAACTTAAATGCAGACAGATGCTGTCTGACATACGTTTTCTATCAATGTCTAGTGGTAAAGATGCTTAAATTTTTCTAGTGAAGCATATTGTTTTCTCTAAACATATTCATTAACACATGTAAGTTCATCAGTATGAATAAAATCAATTGGTAAATGGAAACCAAAATACGTACTTGGTAAACACATTGGTTTGTTAACCCTAAAAATATCCAGGTATTTTTTCAAATGTTAACCTGAAACCAGTTTCACCTACTCTAAGTTTTAAAATGTGCTTATTTTACTCAAAATACTAAAACAATTGTTTTATACTCTTGGAGAATGTTTTACAAAAAACTCTCTGCTTTCTTTATAAGTTATAATATCCCTTTCTATCTGAGCATAACCACAGAATAGAAAATGTGGTTTGTGGGTTTAGATTGTTTCCATTTCATATTTTTACATATAATTATTTTAGGATACTTTTTCAGTATGCAATTGGACAAGCAGAGTAGTAGAGGCAGTTAATGTAAGCATGTCAACAAACCATTATTCTTCATGTATAAGGTACCTATGTCTTTCCGTTCTCTTTTGGAACAATTAGGAGTAGGTAGCATCCAGTCTATACACATACTTGAAAGTGGGTTTTGAAACCTGACCTGAGAGTGAATCTGGACTATGTTACCTCCTGACACTATGACTTTGGGCAAGTTATTTAAGAACTCTAATCCTTAGTTTCTGCATCTGTAAAATAGCAATAACAATAGTACTTCGTAGGATTGCCTGTAAGGTGAAGTGAGATTAATCAGGTCTAGTGCTTAACATAATATCTCACCCATGTTAAGTTAGCTCTTATTTTTTTTAACCTAGTTATCATATGGCTGATTTTAATCAAGTTCTCTAAGGATTTTCTCCCACAAATAATAAAATAGCATCAAGGTTCACCTTAGTAATCTAAAACTGCCCATATTTTAAGTAGTACAATGAAACACTGAATTGCCATCTTTTTTTTTTTTTAAAGATTTTATTTATTTGACAGAGAGAGACACAGTGAGAGAAGGAACACAAGCAGAGGGAGTGGGTAAGGGAGAAACAGGCTTCCCACCCAGCAGGGAGCGCGATGCAGGGCCCGATCCCAGGACCCTGAGATCATGACCTGAGCCGAAGGCAGACGCTTAACGACTGAGCCACCCAGGCGCCCTGAATTGCCATCTTTTTGTTACAAAGCAAAAGAATTTAGCATTAGAAAGACAATTTTCTGTGATGGAGAGCAATAGATCAAGCCACCTGAATTATCTCCCAAGGACTTTCATCCTTCCCAGAGTTGTCTCCAAATTACCACTTTCATTATCATACAGACCCCAAATATTAAAGATTTATTTATTTATTTGAGAGAGACCAGGTAAGCACATGTTGGGGGGAGAGACAGAGAGAGACAATCTCAGGCAGACCCCCCACTGAGCACGGAGCCCAACAGAGGGCTCAGACTCACCACCCTGAGATCATGCCCCGAGTCGAAATCAAGAGTAAGATGCTTAACCGACTGCCACCCAGGTGCCCCATACCGGCCCCAAGTATTATGCTGCTCCATAGTCAAAGTTCTGCCACAGTATGAACGAAATACTTGCCTTTGTTTCCCATTTGGTTTTGACTGGAGATAGAAATTTCCAAACTACTTTCACTCAACACTAATCCTGAGCAAAACTAGTAACAAAAAGAGGAAATACAAGCAATATAAGAACTGCACAGGCAACAAAGTACTGCTTTCTTATGCTAGTGTATTTAATTTAATTTCTTAATGCTTAGCTCTTTTCCCAAGAAAACACTAACCATGTATCTGGGAGGAAAGCTCATGCCAATTGGAACACTGCCAGAAAAAGTGGGCCGAAAGCAATAAATATATTAAAAGGAAAAGCAGTATGGCTATCTTCTGTCTACTGAAGGGAGCACTGAGTTGATGGATTCACCTGGCTAGGT